CATGCAAAATTAATGTTTCGGTTCTCCTAACATAAAGTTTCAAAAAATAATCCGGCAACCTGGCTTTTAATTTTATTTTCAAAAAATTTTATATATAAGCATATAAAATTTTTTTTATATATTTCTAAAAAAATCCCACCCGGATAGTAAATATACTCAAAATTTTTTTTGAAATTTAATCCGGCCGGGTTATAAGAACCGATTTATTGAGTTTGTATGGCCTTACTTCGAACATATTAATAAACTTGTAATATTGTTTTTACTAAAAGAAAAATAATAAAGATTAGTAAAAATCGTAATCTATATATTGTAAAATGTTTTTTTTTTAATTTTCATAAGATACTCTTCTTTTGAAGATGCATTTCACAGAAAGTTCGCATCTAATAAACTATTTTTTATGTTAAGATCTTGCAAACTGAAAAAGAATCATGTGGAAAAAAACAAAATCATTGCCTACCTTTGAAGGCGTTGCATATTGCGCAACGAGGTTAATTTTTTATGATCCTTATACCATTTAATTAGTTGAAACCTTGGCAACTTTTTTAAGAAACGTCATATATTATGACTAAAACTTTAAATGTGTGACATTTTGATCGACTGTTATTAATTAAAATAATAAAAGGCCGTAGTGTATAAATTTTATTTTTGATTGAAATAGTATTACAAAAATTTAAGTGCTATATATTTTTTATTGTTCAAACTATTTTATTTGCACTTGGTTTTTTCTCTAGTAACACATTTTTATATATTATAAATATAATACAATCAAATAACTCAACTACAAATTAATATAAGGATGAAAAGAAAAAATCATTCTAGTCGCTATAATAATACCACTTATTGGGTTCATTAAAAAAAATAGTCATATAGCTAAGAAAAGGAACGAATTTGACAAAAAAATAACGATCACAAAAAATTGATTTTCTTATGAACTATTGATCAGAATTGTATAATTTTGGCACCATTCAGTTTATCTCATTGAGACGAATCGAATGAAGCCAAAATCACATAATTCTGATCAATAGTTCATGAGAAAATTAATTTTTTGTGACGTTATGTTTTTGTCAAATTCGTTCCTTTTCTTAATACCAGGCCCACATTGTGAATTCTCATAAAGCGTTGTTGATGCAATAAATTAAAATACGGCAAAGTGTAAATAATAGAAGAATATAATTTTATCGTGAATATAGGTTGCTATATATTAAAAAAAAGAACCTCATTAGCAAAACCGCAATCTATATACTACAAAATGATTTTTTTTAAATTACTCTATATTTTTATAAGATATCCTTATTTCAAAGATGCATTTCACAGAAAGTTCTCGCTTGTGCGCATCTAACAAGCTATCTTTCACGTCAAGATCTTGAAAACTCAAAAAGAATCTTGTGAAAGAAGGCAAAATAATTGCCCATCTTTGAAGGGGTCGCACATTACCTGATGACGTTAGTTTTTCATATTCTTCATACCGTTTGCTTCGTTGAAACTCTGGCAACTTATTTGTTTTAAGGAATGTTATGTGTTATAATTAAGACTTGTGGTGAAATTTTTAAAAACGTGATTTCGTCGATTTGTGTAATTTATGAAAATCATATGATAAAAAATCAGGTGTGACATCTTGATCGACTGATATAATATAATGTTGCATGTACACGTATGACGTTTGATGTCTATCAATATGATTGGTCATTATCAGTCACATGATTTTTCACATATAAAATTTTAATATATAAGTTAAATGATTGACGCACCTAAATTTCATAAGTAAAATTTAGGCAAATTTTGCTTTCTAGGATAATTTAATGATTAAAAAGTTGTCGGTTTAAATTTTGTGTAATAGTTCGCAAATTCTCTAGCATTTGAAGGTTTTCCTCACAAAATTTCAAGGCGATTGGAAGTAAAACGAAGAATAATCTGGTCCACGAAGTTGGCCAATTTTTTTACGATTTTTATTGTTTGTTTATATGTAATAATAAGTGATGTACATCATTTACCCAAAATAGGGGGTTGTCTAAAGCCGTGTCCATCACGTAACCTAAAGCCAATAGAATTGTTTATTTTGATCGACACGGATCAGCCCGAAGAGACAAAAAACAGCAAAAAAAAGTGAAAAGCGCAAAAAATACAAGAAACGATAGTCTAAACTAGTGAATTGACCCGTCTAAAAAATCTTCACCCGGGTCACCCGACGGGTGGGCAATGTGTCACCCGGGTGAAAATCAGGTCAGCTTCAAAACGTCACCCGTCGGGTCACCCGACAGGTCACCTGTCGGTTTACCTGACGGGTCAGTATCAGTTTAAAAAACTACCTGTGTTTAGAATTATGATCTGATTATTACAAAATTATGTGTACGGCAATCTTAAACGAATTATGCGGTCTCTAAATTAGGGTTAGAAATCACTAAGAATTTGAACCACGAAAAATTAAGCAGGAGCCACTTAACTATAAGTTGCATGATTACAGTTGTTTTCATTACAGCTGTTATCATAATTTCTGAAACACCTGATAAAAAGTGCCGAATGATTTTTTGGCTGATTCGGTTAAGTAGTGACTTCGGCATAATCGATGTATAAATTACAATTTACGTTACATTACATACATACATATAGATTGCATTGTAATTTGAAATATATATTTTTTCGCACAAACTAAATACACTAAACATGTTGAACAAGTATTTAAACGAAAATTTAATAATATTGAACGTGCCGACATTTATTATGTTAAAATTATCTGTAAAACAAGTATCATATATAATGCGTATGTCTTTTATATGTAGGGATATAGTGATATATAGGATGGAAAATTGCGTAATTTTTACGTGTAAGTTTCTGACATGTAATTTGTAAATGAACATTGGTCAGAACTTTTATAGAGCTGACACACAAAGTCTAGTAATATTGGCAAAATTTTTGTAATGCAGGTCAATAATCAAGTGCCACTGCGTTAATTAATGTAAAAAGTTACGTACAATATGTATGTACGTACAATTTGTAATTTTACTGAATCTATTATACGAAATAATAAACGGCCGAAAAATCATTCGGCAATTGTTATCAGGTGTTTCAGAAATTATGATAACAGCTGTAATTTTGGACCGACTGGTAACAAATTGACCGAAAGATTATTTGGCCGATTCGATTTAGTAATTTCGGCATAATATATTTTAGAGCTTATTAGTTCGAAAATTGCCAAACTTTAAACGTCAGTTCGAAAAATTGCATATATTCTATATGCGAGTTCTCAAACACATTTAAAGACATGGATATTTAAATTTGAAGTCGGATGATATATGCGGTGTGTGCATTTAGTGACTGTTTATTCTGTTGATCAACCCGCAGATCAACCAACGGGTCAACCGACGGGTCACCCGCAGGTTAACCCACCCGGGTTGTAATGATTCAACCCGGGTGACCCACCCACCTGCGGGTGACCCGGGTGATACTCACCCGGGTCAAAACACTAGTCTAAACCCATCTTGGTGCATTAATAAAAAATGTCGGGAAGACAATTTTACTATAAGACATGACTGACCCTAACCTCAAACTAACCCTTACCCTAACTTTAATTAAAAAACAAAAACCACGTGACTGAACACGGCTTTAGACGTTCCCCAAAATAGGAAATGAGGAGGCGTCAATTAAAAAAATTCAATTGACGCCTCCTCATTTCCTATTTTGAGTAAATGATGTACATCACTTATTATCACATATAAACAAACATTAAAAATCATAAAAAAATTGGCCAACTTCGTGGACCAGATTATTCTTTGTTTTACTCCCAATCGGCTTGAAATTTTGTAAGAAGAACCTTCAAATGCTAGAGAATTTGCGAACTATTACACAAAATTTAAACTGACAACTTTTTAATCATTAAATTATCCTAGAAAGCAAAATTTGCCTAAATTTTACTTATGAAATTTAGGTGTGCCAATCATTTGACTTATATATTAAAATTTTATGCACATGATCTGCGTGACAAATCGGATAACTGTTATGTATCCGACCGATCAGGTCTACGTAAATCAAAGTCACAGATCAGAGGTTTCATTTCATATATTAAAATCTATTAAAACTGGTTTTATAACATATAAGATAACACCGGTTCCAAACTTAAATAAATAATAATTACGTGGTTCATATAAAGAATATCGAAAAAAAATTTTTTTAAACAATTTAAAAGATAGATTAGATTGTTCAGAATTTATTTAGATGCTGAATTTTTGATTTTCAAAAAAAAATCTAATTGTAAAGTATAGACACTCCATTTTACGTTAGGGTGATCATCAAACTAATCAAATCAAATCATAGGTAGCCATTATATAAACTAATTACTAATTAAATATTTTTTATGACGATCTGAATTTACTGCGGGTAATAACAACTTTTAGTACAGTTTTCTTTTGAACTAACATAATAATCGCAAGTTTAATTTGTTGCAAACCACATTCTAACTTACTTAGAATAGCGTAATAATGGTTTTTTTTCAATTTATTTTGTTTACAAGTAGCCAATTCTTCAACAAAGTAAACAAGCTTTACTCAAAATATAACAATAATAAGTTCATTAAAATTAAAAAGTCAAGGTTGTTACGAAAAAGAGAAGAATGAAAGCTACAAAATAAAAAAAAATTTGATACACAAATCTTTTGTAGTTAACTTGAAAATCATACCTTCGTAAATCACATTAAAAAAACATTACTGTTTTTGGTCTAAAGCATGGCACGAACTAAAACAACGTTTAAACGATGGCAACAACTAAAAAAGGCACGTAATCAACGGCAATTTTCAAAAAAAAAGATTGCCAAAACAAGTAATGATAGCTATAACGATAGCTATAACGATAACAATAGCTATAACAATAACGATGGCTATAACGATAGCCATAACGATAATTATGACAATGGCTATAACGATAGCCATCACGATAACTATGATGATAGCTATCAAGATAGCTATGACAATAGCAATAGCTATCATGATAGTTATAACGATAGCTCAAACATGGAATTAGACATTAAACAACAAAAAATCGACAAACTTATAGAGTACGCAGTTAATTTACCAGACTTAATTCTAACAACATTTATAGACATAATCAAAAAACTTGCACAAACACAATTATATCAACCTCTTAAAAGTGTAGAATATATTATTAGACACAACGGCGCACATGGATAATAAGGAGTTGAGTCTTGGAGTATTTTTATTAAATCATATAAAATATAGTAAAGGACCTAAAACCGGTCAAATTTTTTCAAAGCACATACAACAAAAAGCCTATGATTTTATTGAAAGGTCTTTATATCATTCAGTTGATAATAAAATTAAACATAGAAAACTATCAACCAGAAAAGTTAATTGGTTACAAAAAATTAATATATCATTACATAATAAAATTAAAAAATACAAGCAAATTCGTAAAAAAAAAATTTCTTCAGTTCGTTCTGCAGCACGTAAAATACCCACGATCACTAATAAGCAATTAAAGTTAGCCATCCAAGATCGACTTATGACAAATAAGAAACAGTATAATTCTAAAACTGTTTTAATGGCTACACAAATTTGCGAAATTGGTCAAATGTCTTATCGATCTGCCGTAACTTGCACGAAAAAAGTAATTGAGTGGCTAATAGATGAAGAGCCGGATAAATGATTTTCTGTTAGTACACTTGTTGGATGGCACCAGGACGTTTCAAACATTCATATAATCTAACAATGTGCAATCTCTAAAATTTCTAAGTGGTTTACTTTTGGGATTATGGCGGATGAGTCAACATGTGGTGATAGTAAAGTCTTCATTATATGTTTTATGTATTGGGATTTAGTTTCTAATGAGCCAAAAGTTTCCCTATTAGAACTTAAAGATTTAACCCAATGTTCGGAATCATTAGTTGCATCCACTGTTCTTAAATCGTGTAACCAATATCAGTTAGATCCAACTAAATGTTTAACTTGGACAACTGACAATACGGCGTATATGTCAGGTTGTAAAAATGATGTGGTAGTGTTATTTAATAAGAAGACTAATTCTAATTCATTTCAGGTATCATGTGGACTTCATGTGGCACATATAATGATGTTAAATTTTGAAAATGCTGCATTTGGTAAATTAAAAGTTAAAAAAGGATTTTCTTCGCAAAAACATTCATTCAATTTACTATACCTTATTTGGACATTACATAATGGCTATAATGAAAGTAACAAAGATAATCCAATGAATATGAAGTCTTCTTATATTTTCGATTTATATTTTGAACTCTTTGGCATTCGTTTGACTCAATTTCAAAAACCTTTATGACAACGATGGCTGTATGAATTGCAAGTGGCGAGACAACTAGTAGAAAGAAGAGAATATGTAGAGAAATTTACTGATTGGTTTTTAAACAATCTCAAGTCACAAAAAAAAATCCCAACACCGTATCTTAATAAGTAGAAACTTCTTCAACAATGGCTCGCGGATCCAGGTTTAAAATTTATTTTTATTTTTTTTTATTTTTTTCTGATTTATCTTTTATTTTATCTTTTTTTATTTTTAATTTTTTTTTAATTCATCTAATTGTGCCTAAATTTGTAATTTTTTTTTTAATTCGTCTAATTGCGCCTTAGGTTTAAAAATTCAAATCGAATGTCTTGCCAAATTTGGTGAAAAAATTTACGAACCAATAATGAATTTTTTTATTGGGTCTGATAAAGAACTGCGAATTCTTCAATCAGATGGTCGATTACTACTTCTTCTGCCTGGCTGACGAGCTCATGAAATGTCTGATGCATATATTAAATGAATAAGAAATTTATATAAAATTAGAGATAATATCAAAGATAATCTTACAACTCTTCCCGACGATCACTTGTACCAACCTAACACTGAAAGCAAGTTGAAGATTCAAGCCTAGAAGTCGACAACAACTTGAAGTTTTCTCAATATGAACTGTTGTTAACAAAGTTTTTAAATGTGATACACCGAGGAGCGGACATTTTGGACAGTTTGCAAAGGGGTCAAGCCTTGTTCTCTGTACTTCTTAGATAAACTCCCCTTTGTGTTTGGCATCCAAACTGGAGGAGTCTCTGAGAACAGCAAGTAGAAAAGAAAACTAAAGTTTGTTTGAAGATAGAAGACTTTGAAGAACTCTTGGAACAACACTCCTTGGTTGAAAAACTTACAGAAACTCGATATTTCCTTGCATTTTTTGGCTTTAAAATTTTCAACAAAAAGTGAGGAATTCAGCTTACCCTCTTCAAAAGATCAGCATTATTTATCACTTCCATATTGAGAAATTAGATAATGATAAATTAGCATATGTTACAAAATGAATGAAATGATAATAACAAGTTACGTAAAGTTTTTAAAGTTTTTATACTTTTGGATAAAGATATGGATTTAATTAGAAAAAGTCAAGCAAAGTGTTTTGAGATATATGTGTCCCTTGTATATAATTTTTAGCCTCTGGCATGAGTTATAATGTATCTTGTTTTAGTTTTATATTTTTGTTTTTGTCAAGACTCTCACACTTAATAGTAGATCATTACTCTGTATAATTAAAAATTTTCATCTAATTAGCAGGTTTTCTTCTTTTTAGTAATAGCTTCTTTTAAATTTTAGTTTAGTTTTTTATATTTCTTAGTATTAGTATTTATTTTTTTTGATGTATTAGTTTTTATTATATACCACTTTTTTTTGTTTTCTATTATTCTATTTTTTTCTTTTTTCCTTCACTATGAAAAAGTGTTATCAGTTTGGCAATATTCTATTGTAGGGTGGAAATTTTGAGAGCCAGTACAACAGCTAGCTGAGGAATCAGTGGAAATAAATCCAGAGTGAGTTTTAGATTTCTGAAACCTTCTTACTGTTTCTAATATGAAGTTTTTCTTTTTCCTCTTCCAATTCTTGACTGATTGAAGCTGTGTATCTGCTTTCTCTTTCTTATTCTATAAGCTTGCTTTTCTTCTGTGTGGCTTCTTTTGTAGTTTAAAGTACTTCTTTTGATTTCTGGCTACTTTCTTATACTTCTTCTTGCTATTCTAAACCTGGTATCTTTCTTTTTTCTTTTTCAATTCTTGACTTCAATTGTTCTCCTTATTGCTGCATCTTGTATGATATTATTTTCATTTATACTAATGTTTGTTAATAATCTAATTCATCTACTCTATTTGTCTAAGATTTCTTTTTTCTTCTTTTTCCAATCTTTAATATTTTCTTGTCTACTTTCTAAGTTTACTTAATATATAAACTCTGCTATCCACCTTAGTATTTTCCTTTGTAGATTTGTGATTTATATTTTGACAGAGTTTTCCTCTTCTATTAAGGTTAATGTTAAAATTCTTGGTCTTGATTCTTTGGTTACATCAGCAAATTTATAAGAGTAAAAAATTTTTAAAAAATTTGCAATATGCAAAAATAATAAAAATTTTTGAAAAAATTTTTAAAATATTTCGAAATATTATAATTTCAAAAAATTTTGAAAAATATTTCAAAATATTTCAAAAATTTTGAAAAATATTTCAAAATATTTCAAAATTTTTTTGAAAATTTTTATTATTTTTTGTATGCTACAAATTTTTTTGAAATTTGCTATATATAGTTAACTATCTGATATATTTTGTAAATAATCAACTGTTAAATTTTATGGTGCTAATTCGAAGATCTTTGCATTTTTTAAAATGCATTATTATTTTTTTGATCTTTAAATATGTATTTATTTTTGCACAAAATTTTTTAAGCAACAATTATTAACTACCATCTTTTAATTCCTTCTATTATCACATCCTTATTACATCTTTATGTGTATCATATATAATATAGAACAATCTAGTATATAGAACTCCTGTCTTTAAATAAAAACAATAATAAAGAAATTGGTACAGTATCTCTAATACTCTTCTAATTTTAGATATAACAGGGTATATGCGAATTGTTATGCATTGATTTTTTTTAAATATATAATTACCATTTTGATCTAGATCTCAAATCTAGACTGTCAAATCAATCATATTTTTTTGTTTTTTTGTTTTTTTTATTTATTTAACTTCATTTTCAGATAATATTGCGATCTTTTTCTTTTTGTTTCTATTTGTTGTTTGCTAACTTTTTTGTTCTTTATTTTTTAGGTTTATGGAGGCTTGCTGGATTGTGAGATCAGGAATTTTGGAGCTTAGTTATTGGGTAAGATTATGGTGTTTTTTTTGTTTTCTTTTGATGTTATTTGTTAAATTTTTTGTTCTCTCTTAGGTTTTGTAGGCTTGTAAGAATGTGAAATCAAGTGCTTTGGGGCTTTATTCTTAGGTAAAATTATAATTTTGTTTGTTTTTATTTTGTTTTTTTTTGTTGCTACTTGCCAAACTCTTCATTCTTTTCTTTTTAGATCTTTGTAAGCTTGCTGTAATATGGAATCAGTAACTTCAAAGTTTCATTCTTGGGTAGAATTATGTTTTTCTTTTGTTTCTTTTTGTTGTCTTTTGCTAACTTTCCTTTTTTTAGATTTGTGTAGGCTTGCTGAAATGTCGAATCAGGACTTTGGGGCTTTGTTTTTGGTTTTTTTTTTATTTATTGTTCTTTTGTTATTTTTTTTTGTTATTACTTGCTAACTTCTTAGTTCATTTTTCTTTAAGTTCATGTATAATTATAAAATATTAAATCAAGGCTTTGGAGCTTCATTCTCAGGTAAATTATGTTTTTTTTTTTTTACTTTT